GTCTTTGCCATAGGCTACCATGCGGGCCATTCGCGCGCGTCGGCCGCGCGCGCATATCGACATTATTACATGTCTTTTTATCATCGCTAAGTGGATACCATCACCGTCATCGGCGTGATCAGCATCGGCGCCGTCGTTGGCTTCGCCGTCGTCGTTGTCACCCTCGTCACCATCATCGCTACTAAGATCATCGTACCTGCCGCCGTCGACGTCGCCATGATGCCGCGCGTAAGCGCGGCCAGAGACGCGATTGGAATTGCCCAGCGGTCAGCGCCACCGCGGCCGCGTCGGTCGCGCCAGACTGGCTAGCCGCTGTGCGCGCGAGCTTGCGTGCGCTAGCGCGGCCCCAGCGGCTGCGGTGCGCAAGCCAGGGCCGAGCAGCTATCGTTATCGCTGCCGCGTCGGTTTTGCAAACCACGTTGCGGGTGGGTGGGTGGGATGATTGCGCGAACAGTGGAATTGACAACTACACGTTCGACAGGGCGAAGTGCACCACGCAGCTTGCACCGCGCAGCTTGCACCGGATTGGACCACGTAGTATGCTACACGCAGTTCACCGTTTGTGGTCCAGGCCCGCTAATGTATCGAATGGCCGTCGGCCCATCCCGCCACCGTGGTTGGGTTGTTTGTATTAAGCCTGGTCTCTCCGGGTCCTCTTGGAGGCGGTCTGGAGGCTTTGATGGGGCCGTTTTGTGGCCTCTTGGGGTGTCTTTTAGATCTTTTGGGGGCCTTTTGGGGGCCTCTTTACCTTCCTGGCCGCCTCTGGGGGCCTTCTGGGGACCTCTTTGGGCGGAAGGCTCGGATTTCCCGTTCGTGTTCCCTCTCTTGGGTCCATGCTGGAGCTCTCTTGGGTCGTCTTGGGCGTCTCGGGGTGCTCTTAGGCAATGTTTGGGCCTCTTTCTCTTTTGGGCCTGTTGGGGGCCTCCAGGTGCTTTTTGGCGGCCTGCTTATGCCCTCTTGTGGATTCTTGCGGCCTTATGGGCCCTCTCGGGGGGGAATGTCCGTTTCGCTTCGTGACCCTCCTTGTTGGACCCTCTTGAGACCGTCTCGAGATCCGAGAATGCCGCTTTGGGCGGCTATTGGGCCGTTTTGATGCCCTCTTGGGCCGTCTTGGGGGCGTGTTGGCGGCCTCTTGGGCCGTCTTGGGGCGGTCTGGGAGTTCGTGGGCCGTCTTGGAGCATCGGGAAGCCGAAACGTCGAGAATGCAAAGAACTATTTGGACAACAACACTGGTAATCAATATGATATTGGCCTCGTTGGGCCTTTTGGGGAGGCCTCTTCGAGGCCTCTTGGGCCGTCTTGAGGCCATCTTGCGCATCTTGGGGCGATCCTTTGGCGACTCGGAGTTTTTGTTGATCCGTTTTGGTGTGCCTCTTGAGGCTCTGTTGGCCCAACTTGGGGCCCTCTTGGGCCTCAAAACATCACGCGACAAGATGCGGGGGAGCCCAGGGGATACGCGATAACCCCCAAGAGATTTCGGACACTTAGGTCTGGGCCCCTAATTGACCCTTCAGAACTGAGGACTGAGGCTCAGAGGATTGGGGAAACGACCTGAGGACACGTCCACTCCGTGCCCAGCGGCACGGTAGCGGATGCGCGAAGTTGGATGAATTCCCACTCGGCTTACGGGTTTCTCACTTGTCCGTGAAAGACATTGGTGTGTGCGGGGCCGTTCGTCCGATGTAGCCTTCGGCATTCTTCAGGGTTGCCCGGGGCTGCACGGGATTTGTCGGGGCTGTCCGATGCAAAGCAGTGCCAATCCATGTCCAGCAATGCCAAGCAACGCCAAACGAAGGGAAGCATCGCAAAGCGAAGCAACGCCAAACAATGCTAATGAAGGCAAAGCAATGTCAAGCAATGCCAACTACTGCCAAGCAACAATCCAAAGCGATGCCAATCGTCGCAACACAAAACAAATCCAACACCAGTGCCAAGCAATGCCAAGCACTGCCAAGCAGTGCCAATCAACGCCAAGCCTTGCATCGCCAAGCCAAGCAATGCCACGCAATGTCAAGCAGTGCCCAGCAATGCTTTGTATTGCATTGCTTTGCATTTTTCAAAACTGCTTTGATTGTAAAGGCCTTACGGTCCGTGCCGCCGACCCTGACGATGACGAGGAGGACGAGGAACAGGAGGGCAGGAGGAGGAGGCGGAGGAAGCGGTGGAGCAGCAAGAGGTGGCGGATGCGGAGGAGGATGTGGAGGAGGATGTGGAGGGGGAGCAGAAGCAGGGGGAGAACGGGGGGAATAAGCAGTAGGAGGTCGAGGAAGCTGGGAGTCTGAGGAGCATGAGCAGAAGGAGGACGCGGATGAGGGGGAGGAGGAGGAGGGGCAGGACGAGGGTCGGGAGGAGGGAGTCAAGGTAATCTTGCGGAGCACCCGGGGAAAAGCACGCGGGGCAGGGGGGGAGCATGATGCGGAGGATGATCAGGAGGATGAGGATGCTGATGAGGAGGAGGATGCGAAGGAGGGGGATGAGGAGGAGGGAGAGGGTGAGGAGGAGGAGGAGGAGGAGGAGGACGAGCAGGAGGAGCAGGAGGATGACGAGGACGCAGTGGAGCAGGAGGGGACGAGGAGGAAGAACATGAACGGATATCCGGATCCTGGTGCAAAAGGCGGCGACGACGACGACGACGCTGACGTGGGTCAGCGCTCTAGGGATGCTTGCCGGGGTCTCTTCGGAGCGCTTTCGGGGGCCTCTGGTGGCCAGTTTGGGGGCGTTTTGGGAGACTCTTGGATGGTCTCTTGGGAGCCACTTGGGTGGTCTCTTGGGAGCCTCTTGGGGGCCTCCAGGGGCTTCCTGGAGGCTTCTCAGGGGCGTCTTGAATGCCTCTTGGGCTCTCCTGAAAGCTTCTTGGGGGCGAGGGCTCGAGATGTCCGTTCGGGCCCCCTGTTTCGATACCCTCAATGCCGTCTTGGGTGCCTTTTGGCCTGTATTGGAGGCGTCTCACGCCGTCTTGAGGCCCTCTTGGACCGAGGCTTTAGTGGCATGGACGCGGAAGTCTGCAGTCCAACTCCTTGTGCGAGAGTGCTTCAGGGCCTGCTGCTCGCGCATTGCCAGTACATGTGTTGTTCAAGTCTCTGGGTAGACTGCCGCTTCCTAGTCCAGGGCGATGTTCGCTAAACAGCTGCTGTAAGTCTCTCTGCCCGGCCCCCCGGCCCCTCGGCTTCCCCGCGGTTCCGTCCTCTCTGCTCCGCCTGCCTGTCCTCTTGCTGTTTGGGTCTCTGCGTCGTCACACGAACGGGTGGGCCTGGTCACCACTTTGCACTGCTCGGGATTCGGTCCCGATCGCCTTCTCTTTGCCTACATGGTGGAGTCCACTTCCCATCAGTTGGGAAGCTGGCAGTTTTCATTATCAGGTGTTTGCGCTGGAAAAAAATGGGAACCTCTCGGAGGACTTTTTGCCGTCTCGGGGCGATCTTGAGGGCCTTTGGTGCCGTCTTGGAGCGTCGGGAAGTGGAAGAGGCGAGAATGCCAAAAATGCTACAAACCTTTTGGAAATTGGGGCCTTCTTGGGGCGCCTTGCAGGCCTCATGAGCCGTCTGGAGGCCGTCAAGGCGTCTTGGACGCAGCGTTCGGCGATTCGGGGCCCTCTTGGTCCGTCTTGGGGGCCTCTTCGCCCGTCCTGAGGCGTTTTGGGACCCAGGACCCCCAGGGGGGTAGTTGTATCTGGGTGGCGACCCCCCCCAGGACCCCCTCGGGGACCACACTCCGGGACCATAACGGGAACCCCCCCCCCCGACGGGGGAGGGATCAAAGGGAAGGGGTCATCTTTCGACTGCATTACGAAGTTGCTCAATTCGCTTTGGCTGGCGCGCTTGAGGAGGAGGCCCAGGAAAAGAGGGGGAGCTGCGACGGGCCCAGGGGAATGGAGGCCGCAGGGAAATTGGACGACAGACACGACGGAGACGACGACTCGATCGGACAAGCCCCTCACACACGCCAACAGGGTCGGCGGATTTCACGCAATGCCAGGCAGTGCCAAGCAATGCCAAGCAATGCATTGCATTGCCTTGCATTGCTAAAGATCGCTTTGATATGCTGTGGAGGAAAGATGGCAGTCGCGCCAAGATCATCATACACATGCTGTGTGTTATTCAGTTATGGTGCTTTCCAGCTCGAATATTTGTTGCAACAGGTTATTGTACTCCAGCCAGCTGCGCTTCACTTTGTTGATTGTTTGCGCTTTACACCACTATCTTGGACTGCGCTTTCATGTCCATCATTTGACTCTTGCCTGGCCCCCCCTCGCAAATCTGAGTGGCGAGCTATGATGCTGTCAGTGGCAATGTGGGAGATGGAGGTGCGACTTCACTCAAGAGGTCAACCAACACCAGACTCTTTCCTGGCGTGCCGTCGTGGAAAGCGCCATCTTGCTGGGGAAGAAACGATAGTCCGCCGGGGAAAAATGCAGAAGCCCCCTACCTTCGGAGGCGACGATAAAGACGAGTAGCCTAGGGGGAGCAACACGTGTATCCAGGGGCGCCTCGGATCTATGTCTTCGGCGAGGCCCCTCCGCAAACACGTGGGCTCTTCGACCCCGTCGTCGCCCCCGATACTCTAGGCCTTCTAGATGGGGTCCGAGTAGATGGGGTCGGAGGATCGCGCCGTATCGTCGATGCAGCTCGATGTGGGGCCCGATTTGCTTCACGTCGAAGTCGCCGATGCATCGCCCACGTCGACGATGCATCGCGGGTGCATCGCCAATGCATCGCCGATGCATCGCGGATGCATCGCCGATGCATCGGCGGTGCGGCGCGATCCTCCGACCCCGTCTACGCCGACTCTAGATACCTCTCCCCTCCCCTCCCTCCCCTCCCTCCTGGTCCTCCCCTCCCTCCTGGTCCTCCCCGCCCTTCCCCTACGACATCCGATCGTGCGACTGGAGAGGAGACCCACGCCACGGCAAGGGAGGGGCAGGACGTCAAGTGCGACGCGAGCGCACCTGGCTTGCCCCCTCCCCTCCCTCCCCCCCCTCCCTCCCGGCCCTCCCCGTCCAGGTCCGTGGCAGACTATGCCGCCGGCCCCCTGGACGACCGCCTGGCCGCCTCCGTCGAGGAGGCCTTGTGCGCGCGCCCGGCCCCCTCTGCCAGCCGTCCCTGCCCCTGCTCGTCGCTGCCGGCGTCCAGCCCGCTTCTCCTCGTCGCTGCCTGCGTCCGCCCCGCTTCTCCTCGCCCAGGATGGCACCATGCTGGGCTCAAGTCGGATGTGTGTCCCTCCAGGTGAGGGGTAGTCGAAGATCAGTCCCCCCAAAAAGTAGTCTCGGGACGAACTTGTGACTATTTTGGAGCGCCTTGGAGCATTCTTGGGGTATTTTGCATTTTTTCTCCAAAATCCGCCTGTAGGGGGACATGCCCGACCTAATTCCAGGCCTCCTGGATAGGATCCGAGTAGATGGGGTCGAAGGGTCGCGCCACGTCGCCGAGGCATCGGCGATGCAGCTCGATGCGGGGCCCGATGCATCGGCGTCGCCGATGCAACTCCGACGTCGCCGATGCATTGCCGATGCATCGTCGATGCATCGCCGATGCATTGGCGATGCGGACCCCATCTAGGATGTTTAACCATGATCTCGGCTGCGAGCGAGGGGGGAAGTGAGAGGAAGAAGGCCCTCTCAGAAGGCGGGGGGCCTTCTCAGAAGCCCTCGCGCCTTCTTCTGAGAAGTGTTTTTGCGTCTTCGGTGAAGGCGTAGAACATGTCTCTCAGAAGGCCGGGGGGCTTCCGAGCCTTTGAGCAGATCATTTCCTCCCCTCGCTCGCCATCGATGCTCGCTCTGCACTGGTCAGGCAGGCCTCGAATCGAGATAGGATGAAATAGATCGTTCCAGCGCGTCCCGGAGCGCTCTCAGAGCGTTCCGGGATGCTCTGGAACGGCCGCGTCGCCCGATGCATCCTGCAAGCCCGCCGATTCTCAGTCCGTAGCCATTTTGGCTCAAGCCACTTTGGCTCAAGCTAAAAGCTGCAATGGAGACCCAGTCCCCGTACGCCGCAGGCCCCGCGAGGGCTATGGGCTGTGCACGGGCCACGCAAAGAGCGCGCGCGGACCACATCCCGTAGCGAGCTCATCAGCCAAGTACGTATCGCCGAATTTTGCTGGCTCTCGCCGGCCATCCCCGCTGGCCCTCGCGGGCATCAGTACAGGATCGCCCTCGTCGCAAACGACAACATGAAACCGTTGATGTGCGAGTTCATCGAGGTGCACTTCTCGATGCTCAACGTCTTCGAATTTACTTGCACGCAACAACGTGTTCTTCTTTATTCAATTTAAGGCCGAGGGTCCCATGTGCTTCAAGGAGCTTGCCAGTGGCCCACTTGGTGGAGATCAGCAGCTTGGGGCGTTGGTCACAGAAGGTGGTGTGCAAGCAGTGTTCTCCTTCCGCGATCCCTTCTCCGCGCACGTTCATGATGCCGACATCCAGGCATCCGCCCGCATATACGATTGCCACCAGTGCTATTTCGCGACGAGAAAAAAAAACGCCGATTCTCAGACATTTCCGATGTGCATCGGTGCGATGCTGTCTCGATGCTGCCCTCGTCTTTCCTGGCTGCTGGCAGGCTCGACTGCCCAGCCAACGTTCCCCGGTCTGAGGCTGCGGCCTCCACGCCACGTCCCGAGGAGCACGAGCGGGCTCGTCAGCGGGGCACGCGCGTCCCCGGAGCGTCGAGGACGGGGGCCGAGTCGGGAGCCTCGAGACGGGGGTCGATGCAGACGGGGGTCAGCCAGGGCACCCTATCCTGTAGGATCCTGCGAAGACCCCCCCTGGCTGACCCGGGTGAGCGAGCCGCGAGGCGGCTGACCCGGGTCTGCGAGGACATGCGTTGCATTTTTTTTCCTGCTTTGCAGTTTTTGGTTTCTTGCTGACCCGGGTCTGGATTGACCCCGGTCAGAAGATCTCCGACCGAGGCGGCGGTCGCCAGCGCGCCCTTGCCAGCTCTGGGGGGCGGCGGAACGGTCAGTGGCGGTGCACGACGCAGCGATCGGGCAGCTCCGCAGCAGCTGGGGCCGCCGCGTTCGGCAGCAAGCCGCGGGAGCCCTGTGTACCCTCGCAATTCAGTCTTGCGCGTCGATTCGCGTTTGGGAGTCGATGAGATAGCGCCGACTTAGCGTCGACTCGCGTCGATTTAGCGTGGATATAGCGTCGATTAGTGTCGATTTAGCGTCGACCCAACGAGGGTTCGCAAGAGGCGGAGCCATGAGTGTTCACCGAAGCGACGGGAACGTGCTGGTGCCCTGCGAAGCAGGGGCGGCCCGAGCCCGCCCAGGCTCGGCGATCGACGGACAGGGCCCTCCAGACTGCACCCTGGGTGTCGTGGGGTGCGCCACGCCCAAAGGCGGATTTGAGGAGAGCGGGGCGAGAATGAGGAGGAGGAAAAAGAGGAGGGGAAGGAGGAGGAGGAGGAGGAGGAGGAGGAGGAGGATGGGGAGGAGGAGGAGGAGGAGGAGGAGGAGGAGGAGGTGGAGGAGGAGGAGGAGGAGGAGGAGAGGGGGAGGGAGGAGGAGAGGAGGTGGAGGAGAGGAGGAAGAGGAGGGGAGAGGAGGAGAGAGGAGGAGGTGGAGTGGAGGCGGAGAGGAGGCGAAGAGGGGGAGGAGGAGGAGAAGGAGGAGGAGGAGGAGATTGATGATGATTGTTTGTTTGTTTGTTTGTTTGTTTGATGATGATGTTGATGATGATGATGATGATGATGATGATGATGATGATGATGATGATGGTTATGGTGATGGTGGTGATGCTGATGCTGATGGTGATGATGCTGATGATGATGATGCTGATGATGATGATGGTGGTGGTGGTGGTGCTGATGATGCTGACGATGCTGATGATGATGATGCTGCTGACGATGATGACGATGCTGATGATCATGATGATGATGGTGATAATGATGATGCTGCTGCTGATGATGGAGATGATGATGGTGGTGATGCTGCTGCTGATGATGATGATGATGATGCAGATGATGATGCTGATGATGATGATGAGGATGATGATGATGATGGTGGTGATGATGATGCTGATGGTGATGATGATGTTGATGCTGATGCTGATGCTGATGCTGATGCTGATGCTGATGCTGATGATGATGATGATGATGATGATGATGATGATGATGATGATGATGATGATGATGATGATGATGATGATGATGAGAGAAGGAGGGAGGCGGACAGAGAAACAGGGGGAAGGAGAGGAGGAGAGGAGGAGGAGGAGGTGGAGGAGGAGGTGGAGGAGGGGGAGGAGGTGGGAGGAGGCGGAGGAAGAGGAGGAGGAGGGAAGGGATGAGACGCAAGACGAGGAGGAGGGAGGAGGAGGAGGAAGATGGGAGGGAGGAGGAGGAGGTGGAGGAGGAGGAGGAGGTGGAGGAGGAGGAGGAGGAGGAGGGGACGAACAAGGTGGAGGAGGAGGAGAAAACAGGTGGAGGAAAGCAGGGAGGAGAAGGAGGCGGAGGAGAATGATGAGGAGGATGTAGAGGTGGAGGTGGAGGTGGAGGTAGGAGGTAGGAGGAGGAGGAGGAGGAGGAGGAGGAGGTGGAGGAGGAGGTGGACGCGAAGGAGTGAGGATAAGAAGAAGGAGGAGGAGGAGAACGAGGAGGAGGAGGAGGATAATGATGATGATGGTGGTGATGATGATGATGATGGAGATGATGGTGATGATGATGATGATGGTGCTGATGCCGATGCTGATGATGATGATGTTGATAATGAGGATGAGGATGAGGATGATGATGATGATGATGATGATGATGATGCTGCTGAGGATGATGATGATGATGCTGAGGATTATGATGATGATGGCGATGATGAGGATGATGATGAGGGTGGTGATAATGATGATGATGGTGCTGAGGATGTCTATGATGATGCTGATGATGATGATGCTGGAGATGCTGCCGATGCTGATGATGATGAAGCGGCTGATGATGCTGATGATGATGATGAAGCTGATGCTGATGCTGATGCTGGTGATGATGTTGATGATGATGATGATCATGCTGATGATGCTGATGGTGATGATGATGACGATGATGCTGATGATGATGATGATGATGAGGATGATGATGATGATGGTGATGATTATGATCATGGTGAGTATGATGATGCTCATGATGCTGATGATGATGATGCTGATGATGATGATGATGCTGATCATGATGATGATGATTATCATGCTGATGATGCTGCTGCTGATGATGATGATGATGATGATGAGGATGCGGATGAGGATGAGGATGAACATGAGGATGCAAATGATGATGAGGATCAGGATCAGGATCAGGATCAGGATCAGGATCAGGATGAGGATGAGGATGAGGATGAGGATGAGGATGATGAGGATGGGGATGGGGATGAGGATGATAATGAGGATGAGGATGAGGCTGAGGATGAGGATGCTGACGATGATGATGATGCTGATGATGATGATGATGATGCTGATGATGATGATGATGATGGTGATGGTGATGGTGATGGTGATGGTGATGATGATGATGAGGATGAGGATGCTGCTGCTGCTTCTGATGATGATGATGATGATGATCGTGATGATGATGATGATGATGATGATGATGATGATGATGATGATGATGATGATGATGATT